CATCAACTCTAAAATACAACTGTATTTCTGATGTCACTATAAAATAAAAAGGATATATGCTACCAAAGTGTAACATGCTACTGAGATGCAGTCTGATTTCAGAAACGATAAAATGTGAACATTAGCATGTGCCTTAGCATCAGTGTAAAGCGTTAATGGTACGGAAGGTATCGGTATATATATCGGAAGGAGGGTATTATTTCACAAAATGAAATACTCTTTTGTTTCAATTACACACACACACATACACACACACACACACACATACACACACACATGTACCCCTAAATACTGGATGAATTTCTCCCTTGCATGATAATATTAAGTCATTTGGGCTTGGGCTTTATTAAATGCTTGGAGTACCTGGAATTAGTGGATTCAGGTCTGTCATACACATCCATGATCATATTCATAACAGCTACTATTTCTTTATGTAACAAAGACGCAGCACTGAGGGTATGCCAGACATTGCTCTAGAAGCTAAGGATACAGCAGTAAACGAAACACGAATTCCTAGTCTCAGGTAGGTTACAGTCTAGTGGGTGGAGATAGAAAAGAAACAACATATTTTATATATTGTGTGTTATACAGGTGACAGATGCTAAATTGAAAAATTGCTATTTGAGAGAGAACAGGGCATATAAGTTGAGGGAGGCTGTGATTTCTGGTGTTACGGTCAAGGAAGCCTTGGACTTGAAAGACTTGAAGCAGGGTGGGCACCAGGATGGGGCTATCTGAGGTAAAAAGCACTAAGGTGGTGGGAGAAAAAGGTGTCCTGGGAAAGCACAGGGTCTGGTGCCTTCCAGACTCATGGTGCTTGGGGTGGCTGCCGTGGAGGGTGAGGGGCACAGAAAACACAAGAACCAGTGGGCACAGATGGTGGGCCTAAGGCTCTTCCGGACATTTTATGTTCATTGGCATTTCTTCTGAGTGAGATGGGCAGACACTGGAAATCTCTAAGAAAAGAGTGCATGCCAGCTCTCCTACATATTGTAGCAGGAGCCCTGGGGCTACCATGGGGAGACCTAACAAAAGTTGTGTAAGGCTGGAAACTTCTGCAGTGATCCAGGGAGAGAACACCACAGTGCCTTCGATCGGGGTGGAGGGGGGCAGTGGAGGTAGAAAGAGTGCTCAGGCTCTGGACCCCTCTGGAAGACGGAACAGGCAGGGTCTGCTATGTGATTGGCTCTGGGGTGTGGGGGAAAGACTGTCAAAGGATGTCTTCAAAGTTTGTGAACTGAGCAACTACAACGGTTTACTGAGAAAGAACACTGCAGGCAGGGCGGATTTCAAGGGAACTCTCTGGAACTAAATTTTGTCCAGGTTGGTCAGAAAGTTTAGTCATCCCTGAGGGTGCATCTGGGAGTAGCAAGAGAGGCTCGTGAGACACGCTGGGTGCACAGAGGAAGGAGGTGGGCGCTCTGAGATGTTGAACCTGTGCCTCCTTAATTCCCGGGCCCTAATGCCTCACTTGCGTCACCCTAGTCATGGCCCTGCAAGAGGGTGTGCTGAGCAGTTTGCAATTGGGAGAGACCTGGGGCAAATCTGGAATTATCATGTCACTTAAATGGTTTGAGCCTGTTTCCTCACAAGTAGAATAAGGATGTTCATCGTTGTCTCAGTGTTTCAGGGGAGGGTTAAAAAAAGACAATGATTTTGTCTTTTGAAATAAACACTATGACGTGTGAAATAAATACTGATGACATGTGTTTGCACTTAGGTGGCAATTTACAAGAAAGCACTAGAAGCCGAAAGGGCCACTTGCAGCTAAAAGCAATTGTGAAATGGCAGACCTCTTGTCATGTGAGGAAAAGCAAAGACCTCTGGAGAAGAATGGTGGGGGTCGGGGGGAAGCCGGACATGGGAATCATGGGGATGGGGTCGACCAGGGCGCAGAGCTAATCTTTGTAGGAGTGCAGCTTGTAAATGAAGAGGCTGAGAGTCTCTTCAGAGTTATTTCAAATTCAAAGCCACTCATTGCAAGCATTTTGAACAGTGACGCCGGAATCACAGTAAAAAACAGAGAGGTCACTTGACTCAAGATGGTACGGCCCGCAAAGCACGTGACCCGAAGGTCCAACGCGGCGTCCACCTGGCCAGTCTCTCCATCAGAATGCAGAGCGAGGGCTGGTCCTGTTACTTTTCAGTCTTCACCTAAATCTGATTAGAGAAACAAGCTCGCCACGAGTCATGCCTCAACACTGCTCAGATTCGCGCTCTCCGTGGCCTCAGTGTCGAGGAGGAGCTGTACTTCCTGTAGGAGGTGTGGACGAAGGTCTGAGCGATGCAAAGTGACTCAACACTTGATGCAGTGCAGACACCGCCAACCACTTTTTCAAAGCGACTGAAACAACTGACATTTCCACCAGCAGTACTGACAACTCCACTGCTACAGATCCAGCACTCGGCCCTGGTGGGCCTTCTCTTTACTACAATTCTCTGCAAGTTGTAAAAGTGCCACGTTGTAGTTTTCATCTGCATTTTCCTGTTGAGTCATGATCTTGAGACAATTTTTTTCCATACGGTTATCGGCCACTTGAATATCATCCTCTTTTTTTAAAAGCCTATTCAGGTCTTTTCCCCCCAACGTTTTTTTTTTAACTATCCTGTCTGTCAATTGAGAAAGGCATGAAGGAACTACTGAGGCACTGATAATATCCTGTAACTTGACCTGTTTGGTACTTTAATGGGTGAACATATTCCGTCAAGGTTGACGCTTCATGCTGCATCCTATTTGAGAAATTATTGTCGACCAAGCACACAAACATTCCTCCTCTTCTAGAAACATTACTGTTTAGCCTTTCACAGTTAGGTCTATGATCCACCTCAGATCTATTTTTTTGTTTATGTTGTGATAAATCAAGGTATTTAATTTTTCATATGTATATTCAAATCAACCAACACCATTCACTAAAAACCACTCTTCCTGCTGTATTGCCGTTGACTCGTTGTGTACGCCAGGTAGGTGACTATGTATTTCTGGACTCCATTCCATTCCATTTGCCCAGTTCTTTATCCTTGTGGTAATGCCCCACTATCTTGAATATTGTAGCTCTGCCTAAGTTTATGTGACGGTTAATGTTATGTATCAATTTGGTCTAAGGGATGCCCAGATAGCTAGTAAGACATTACCTCCGCTGTGTCTGTGAAAGTATTTGGGGAAGAGATTAGTATTTGAATCATCAGCCTGAGTGAACAAGCTAACCCTTAGCAACTTGGGAGTGCATCACACAATGAGACACCTAAGAGAACAAAAGTGAGGGGCATTTTTCCCTGTCTTCTTGAGATGGGACATGTAATTCTCCTGTCCTTGGACATCAGTGTTCCTGGTTCCTGGGCCTTCAGACTCAGACTGAACTACACTGCTGGCTTTCCAGGTTCTTCATCTTGCAGACAGTGTATTGTGGAATTTCTCAGCCTCCGTAATCGTGTAAATCTCGTCTCTCTCTCTATCCTATTGGTTCTGTCTCTGGAGAGCCCTGACCAAATACAGGTATCGGGAGTTTTCCAGCTTTGGTGTTCAAAGGTGTCTTGGCTGTTCCAGGGACTTTGTTGAATTGAAGTGGTTATAATGGACATTGTTCTAGAACATGGTAGTTTTCATCTGCATTTCCCTGATGAGTCATGATCTTCAATATTTTTTTCACTGTAAAATGTTCTATATGGTGTACATTGTACAGGACATTGCACATTGTACAAAATGATAATGTTCTGTACATTGTGTAATGAGAACTTTGTCTTGTTCTTAAACTCAAGTGCAATAGTTCATCATTAATTGCAGTGTTAGCTGGAGGGCTTTTTATAGCTATCCACTGATTGCAGGGCAGTTGAGCTACAAATCAACAATAGTTAATTGAGGAAAAAAAGCCCTAAAGCTTGGAAATCAATATTATTCTAAACAGGGCTGGGACTAGGGTGAGGGAAGCCAGGAGCCTAAAATGCAGAAGGACCATCCCTGCACTTTGAACCCCTTCAATGTTGTACTTCAGGCTCACACTAGTCCTGTTTCTGGTTATGAATAACTCAGAGCTCCTATGAGAAATCGGTATAGAAAAGGAAACTATTTGGAATTGAGTGATATTAAAAAGACAAAATTTATACGATGGGGTAAAGCAGTTCTTAGAAGATATTCATATTTAAACTGCATATATTTGAAAAGAAGAAATGTTGGGGTGGGTGAAATGGATGAAAGGGGTCAAAAGATACAAACTTCCAATTATGAAATTAAAAAATTCTAGAGATGTAATGTACAGCATGGTGACTATAGTTAATAATACTGTATTGCATATTTGAAGGTTGCTAAGAAAGTAAATCTTAAAAATCCTCAGCATAAGAAAAATATTTTGCAACTGTGTGGTGATGAATGTTAGTTACTGTGGTGATCATTTCACATTATAGACAAATATTGAGTCATTATGTTGCACACCTGAAACTAATATAATGTTCTATGTCAGTTGCACCTGTATAAGGGGAAGAAGAAACTTTATTAATGGACACGAAATTTGCATTTAATTTCCAGATACTACAAAATACCTTATTCAATTATATATATTTTTCAGATGTCACAAATCATAATACTCTCTGTGTTTTTTACCCAGACACTAAAACATAAGTTCATTCTTAGCTCGCTGCTAATTGGTATAAAAACAGGTGACAGGCTGGACTGGATGCCCACCCAGCAGCGTGGCCAAGCTCCTCAAGCAGCAGGCAGCTCTTTTTATTATGGAAAACGAACCCCAGGTGAAGATTACTAGAGATGGATTACAGGTGGGCAAACATATCGCCTAGTAACTGGGAGCCAGCCCTCGACGCAGAATCCAGGCTGACTGTGAAACCTTGACCGCCCAACATGCTTCCAGGGAGCCAAAGTCATGGCGGCGGGCCCCTGCCCGCTTCAGCCTGACTCCGCGCCCAGCGGTTGCCACCAGGGGGCGTCAGGGCGCGCGCATGCGCCCGATCCGGCCTCCCGGCCAATCAGATGGCAGCGCTCGGAGCCGCGTCGACCTCGCGCCCTCACCTGGCAGCCAATCACAGGTGGCAGCGGGCGCGCGTGCGGGGGAGCCGGCGGTGACTGCGGCGCCCGGGGCGCGGAGGAGGCGTCGTCCCCTCGGGCCTCGCCGGGGGAGCGTCTCGGGCCCGATGAGCTGCAGGCAACTCCGGGACGGCGGCGGACCGGGACGGTAAGAACGGGGGCGTGGCAAGACTCGAACGTGTGCTCCGAGGGGAGAAGGGAGGGCTTCCGCGGCTGCTGCCCCGCGGGTCCCGACGCCGCGCCAGGCGTGGACGGCCTCTGGAAAGTGAGTGTCGCGCGGGCGGCCCCCGGCCGGCCCTAAGAGCCTCCCACGCGCCCTCCCTTCCCTAATGTCCGCGGGCGCCTCTAGAGTCGGCTTCCGCTCCCTAACCCCGGCGGGGCGCTCCCCATCCCGCAGGGCCCGGCCGCGCCGAGGCCTCCCGGGGGAGGGGCCCGGCCTGGCTCCCGAGGCCCTCCGCCGCCTCGCAGCCCGCACCCCCCGCGGTGGTCTCCTGGGGAGCTTCAGGGGGTTGAACGTCTGTAACCGGTTTTGTAACTCCGGCCCCGCCCTCATTCAGGACTTAGGTACGTCCGGACCCTCGAAAGCGTTGAAAGCACTTTAAAGTTCATTTTTCGGTCCCTCCCTCCTGCCGCGGTGCCTTGTGTATTTTTCTTGTTTACTGTCTCTCTGGACCCAGAGCCAGGCCCGAGGGTGATTTCGAGGCATTTGATTCGGGCAGTTCCCGGATGGAGTGTTTCTTTAATGATGAAGGCTAGATGGGTGGAACATGTGGCAGGGAAAGGAATTCAGCTCTTTTTCCGATTGTGAGAGGCTTGATAAATGCTTGATCCGCATGGCAGTCAGGTTCCTGTAACACGTACACACCTCCAGTCCTCTCTGGTTGTCTCAAGGACGGGATCTCCTGCCTGGAATAGCTCACGTTCTGAGAAGATTTGAGTGCACACCTGAGGTAAGATATGCGAGGTCTTTATAATAAGGACCAAGGTTGGATCTCAAAGTTTTTCACTTGTTCTCTTCTGTGGTAAAACGTTACTGTTTAGGCAGTGTTTCCTGAGTGTGTATGATTTGAAACTGAGTATGTATGGATAAATTCGGGCCACTCATTGATGTAGATAATTCTGGACTCTCTAAATTGCCTCGTAAGAAAGGGAGGGTGGTGGTGGCTTGCTTTCCCCTGCCCACGTGGAAGGAGAAAGAAAAGTAAGAGCACCGTAGATTTTAAGCCATGTAAAGCTGATCTCTTTTTTACCATGTGACAAGGCTAATCGGCTGAAACACATACCCTAAGATTTCAGCTAATGTATTAAAGTGGTTCATTCAGGGTAAATGTATTTAAAAATGATTGCATGGGTTTGGTTGTTGTTCATTTTCATACCCTTTTCCCTACGGACTTTATTTCATGATATGATTGGATGGGAGAGGCTCTCTCAATCCATTCCATGCCAGTAGGCAAGATTATAGGTAAATTCTGTGCTCAGCAAACTTGTGCATACAGCTCAGGGAGAGCCACTGTATAGTTTATTTTCTATTGCTGTGTAACACATTATCTCAAAACAATAGCTTAAAATAATACGTGTTTATTATCTCATAATTTCTCATGGTCTGGAACCCTGGAGTGGCTTAGCTGTGTGGTTCTGGCTCAGGGTGTCTCATGAGGTCTGGTCAGGCTTTTGACTGGGTGGGCAATCTCTGAAGACTTGACTTTTGTTAGATGATCTGTCTAAGCTCACTCACCGGACTGTTAGCAGCCGGCTTCTGTTCCTCATCTGTGTGCCTCTCCGTGAGGCTGCTCATGCATGTCCTGGCAGCTAACTTCCCCCTAGAGCGAGTGATTCAAGAGAGCTTGTACCCAAGATGAGGTTCAGTCTTTCTCAGATGTTACATATAATCACTTCTGTGTTTGTTTAGTTCCACAGACTAACCCCATGATAATGTGGGGGAGAGCTACACACAAGTGTGAATACCATGAGGCGAGGTTCATTTGGGGCTATCTTAGAGGCTTGGCTTCCATACCATTTATATACCATTCTACCCTTCTCTGTATGATCTCAAGCATTGTCCTGTTACTGTTGGTACATTATTTGGCTCCAGGCTAAGGCCAATACCTCTTTTGTGTACTAGATCCAAGCAGTTATTCTTTATTCAAGGATGTTGTTCCCACAAGTCTCATCTTTATCCTGGATTAAGTTTTCTGTTTCTCTGGGTCATTTCCATCAGCAAACAGACTGATTATAATGTCGCCTCTTCTTAAAAATCCATCTTTTGATGACACATCCGCCTCCTGCTTATTTTGTTTCGTATTTGTGTGTTATTACAGGAAAATTTTTCTGGAGTTGTCCATATTTGTTTTCTCCAGTTCCCCCATTCTCCTTTAAATCTACTCTTTGTCAAGGTCACCAGTGAATTTCACAGCGCTTAATCCGATGGTCTGTTTTTAGTTTTTTTTTTTATATGATCTATTGGCAGCATTTATCAGAGGAATTCATTTCCTCCTCCTTGAAAAGAACTTTTCATTTGGATTACAGGATTTCATTTGCTTTTCTACAGGATTCTCCTCCTTTTAAGACTTAACCCCTCCCAAACCCCTGACCCAATGGCTGTAAGTATTTCTTTGTAAACATTCCCTCGTCATATCCTTTTCTGGTTCCTTATCAACTCCCTAACCTCTAACCAATGAAATGCCTCAGGGCTTGGATCTCAGGCCTTTTAACCTAAATGAGTTCATTCAGTCTTGTGTTTTAAATAACACTCTATGCTGAAGATGCCAAAATTTGTACTCCTAGCACAGACTTTTTCCTGAGCTCTAGTCTCATATATTTACCCGCTCAGCATCACCCCTTGTATGTCATCATCTTCTCCTTCACATCCTAAACCAATCTGTCAACTAATCTTTGGGACCTAATAGATTTTGATCTAGAATCTGACCCCTTAGTACTTCCATTTTCCCATCTTGTCTGTTACAAACATCATCTTTTGTCTATATTATTTCAGGAGCCTCTTTAACTTGTCTTCCTGCTTCCAATACTACCCTCTAAAGTTTGTTTCTAGCAGTCATATAGCAGTCAGAGTGACCCTGTTTAAATGAAAGTTAGATTCTATCACTCCTCACTCAAAACCTCAGTGACCCTCATCACACTGAGTGAAAACCAAAGAACTGGCCTACACCGACCAACTTGATTTTGGCTCTTCACCACACGGAGCTCATTCTTTGATCTCATCTCCTTTTCCATTGGCTTGTCTGTTAGCCTCTTGACCATTAACTGTGCTAAGCATGTGCCAATTTCAGTCTTTGTATTTGCCATTTCCTCTGTTGAAATATTCTTCCCCAGATATCCATAACCATGCTGTATGATTATCAGCTTGCCTCCATACTACCTGACATTTACTGCTTTATTTTCTAACATTTGTAACCATTTGAAATTTTACATGTGTATATAAATATATGTTTGAATACACAATAATATAAAATGCATTTCACATATTTTACTATGTTATTATATATAACAAAATATATAGTACTATATGATACTATAATATACATAATAATATTTTATGTATATGTGTTTAAAAAGTATTTTCCAGTTACCTCTACTGGAATGTCAGCTCCCTGAAGAAAGGGTCTTTGTTTGCATCATTGCTGAATTGCCAGTGTATAGTGCAGTACCTGGTATATGGTAGGTAGGCTCACCAAACTTTTATTGAATGAATGGTCTGCTACTCAAATGCCTCACAAACAGCACCTTGATGCACCTCCCTCCCCCTACCTCTGTGGTTAGGAGACTGTCAAAAGTGTGCAAAGTCTTTTAATCATTCCATTCCTGTGTCAAATCTCTGTTTCTCAGTTTTTTGGGGGGACAGGGATATATTTCAATTCTATTGATCCAATATGTTTTGTAGTTCATCCAAAATAGTGAACATCAGAATATTTCCAAACTTGTATGTGTGACCTCACATAGAACCTCTTATGGTGATCTTTCCACAGAGTAACAATTTCTCCCTAATTTCTTAAAAAAAAAATTGTCTCCCCACCCAATTTTTTTTTGGACCCCAGAGTTCTAAAATGGCAATATTAGGGTCAATTTGGTATTTCAGAAAAATAATAGTGACTCATCTTTTGACTTCTTAATAAATGTGGGCGCAAGCTATTTTAACCTCATCCTGTGTAAGTTCCTTACACTTGTGAACTACAAATATTTTTAGGTATATTCCTTTCTTTCCCTTAAATGTATGAATTAGTCATTTGAATAATAATACAATTCTGAGTTTAGTTTAAGCATTATTATTGAATATATTTGAAAACAAACCATGGATGCTCTGAAGAAGTCTTAGCAGGATTTTTTCCCCTGCGAGCTTCTCAGTAGCAGGGAGATACAAGTAGAGATTCATAACAGGGCCCATCTGGCCTGCAGAGAATCTTACCACTTCACAAGCTCCAGATTTCTTATTATTAGGTTGACTTATTTATCAACCAAACTGAGGTATTTTTAAGAGTGAAAAGTGGTACTAATACATAGGGGCAACAGGTTAAACTGAGATCATCCTGGTCAAATATTTAGCAATCCTACTTAAATTAATTTGGCCTTCTAAGTCCTTAGTATCGGAGAAGTATCCACTCTACAAGCAGATAGCCTTCTATCTCTGGGAAGGCCTGCATCCCCCTGTGAATTTATAAATTGACCACCTGGCACGAGCTTAACTCACTTCCTTGGCTAGATTACTTTGCATCATTAGCATGATCCTAATTACTTGTTACATGAATGGAGTCTGCTTGGGGTTTTGTAAGTTTAGTATCAGTTGTTGTGATGTGCGAGGCATTTTTTCCTCTTTAATTGAGATATAATTCACGTACCATTAAATTTACTCTTTAGAGTGTAAAACTGAATGGTTTTTAGTATGTTCATAACACTGTATATTTACCACTAATTCTGGTACGTTTCATTAACGTACCTGCATCCATTAGCAGTCACCATAACAAATTACCACAAGCCTGGTGGCTTAAAACAACAAAAAATTATTCTCTCTAAATTCTGGAGACCAGTCATTTGAAATCAGCATTGCTGGACCTAAATCAGGATGTTGCCAGGGCTGTGCTTCCCCTGACACTTTAGGGGAGAATCCATTCCTTGCCTTTTCTAGCCTGTGGTCAT